CTAAATATCTTAATTTTTGCGTTATCTCGTTGAATCATCAAAGTCTTTTTGTAGACCTTTCGTTTGCAATAAAATTCAACTATCAATATTTCTATCATAGGGCAAAGCCAATAATTTTCACCAACTAAATTAGATATAGAATGCAAAGAACGTAGGGTAGATTTAACTATTTTTAGAAATTTTAATGAGGATATTCTTCAAATGTAATTTTTGTTCTTGTACGAACGATAAAGAAAATCTTATGATAAGTCATGATACGCACTCGGGACACTTCTCGACTACAAAGAAAACATTTTAATTCGCATCTTTGCCCCCAAGGCGCGTACAGCAGTCGGCAAAAGATCGCTTGGCAATTGTCTCGCGACAGGTCTTTCGATTCGAGTACGATTCGAAAGAAAGAAGAAAGAAAAGAAAAATTCAGGCGCTGGGCCTAAAAGTGCACGCTCCTAGACTGCTCACATTGTCCCCACCAACCACCGAGGCTCATCTCCAACAGGTTCCTCTTTTTCATCCCCCCCCCCTTCCGCCACCACCGTCCTCACCGTCCCCTCGTCCTGTCTACGGCGAATTGTTTGCATTATGGAAATATAACGTTTACAAGATTACTGCGTGTTCTCTTTCATTGTTCGAGCCATTATAGACGGTAGAGACGGCGATTGTGCAATGGATAAACGCCGCACGAGCCGTTGAAGTTTACGATCTATAAGCGCGCTGAATTATCAGACGATGCATCAAGTGAGATATATCATAGGCCTACCACCATACAAGTCGGCTCGGGTTATTCCTCATCGTTGATGTTGCGCTATTGAATATATTAATAATGAAGGATAATGGCTCGGGGCTGCGGGGGAGCTACTTGGATAAGTTTATACGGCAGTCGTTAGAGGGCCTGGCGAATGTGAGATCTAACACACTCCCGCCCCTCTCCACCGGAACCACCACCGCAATCACGACATATGTCTATACAGAATATTCTATACTAATTTTTTTAGTAATTTATTGCCAGCAGTTGTATATGCTTTTGTACAGATTCAATGAAAAATGTAAATCGGATACTTGCCACCTTATGGGGTTTGAATAAGTGTGCGCCTTTCATTGGCGTTGACTTTCATTGCTTATTTGGAATCTCGATTTTAGTCGAGAATTTTTATAAAACGACAGGATTACACGTAGCTGGATTGTTAAAAATATATATAATAACTTAGTTACATTCGAGGCCAACTTACTTTCAACTCGGCCGAAGCGTATACCAATAAACAATATCAATTTCATTATGTATGCACAATTTGTAATGCTCACCATAGCTCACGTTATTCAGCCTTAAGTGTCTATTAAATTTATAAACTAAATAAACCGAGTTAAAAGAAGTTAAAATAATCTGGTTTTACCGGGAATGAACTATTGTGTTGGTGCTTTTTCTAAATCTCAAAGGTATTCGAGCACATTTTTACCCCCAACATTTATTGTGTAATGGCAAGTACCGTAAGGTTGAGATGAAAATTATAAGATTATTAGATTTTCAAAGTACAGGTAAGAAAAAGTATTCTCTTTTATCCCCGAAAGAGATAAGCTCGTTTCATCGAGCCTTTTAATATATATATATATATATATATATATGTACATACATATACATAATAAATTAGTGTAAATTTACCAGCGGGCGATTAAAATTCACGCTATACATCGCAATAATTATTGCACGCTTTCTATTTTACTTAGAACAAACATTATATACCACTACAATGGCACGACTCGTAAACGAAGAGACTCAACTTACAACTGTGGAATTAATGATCCTTATGCAATTGTGTGTAGAAAAGAGGTCGAGTCTCGAATGGAATATTTCAAATAATAATAGGCACGGCCTTCCTTCTCTCAACCCCACAAGCAAACTTACAACTCAAAGGGACGAATCTCGCTGCCATCGTAAAGTCATCGTGCCGCTTACCGATTAGCTCGAATCGTCGTGCATAAATCGGAATTTCGATAGGAGCGGGGCCTCGCTTCGTCACTCGCTCAAGTACGAAGGAGTCAGGATGAGGGGCGAACGGATGGACCGGACCTCCTCGTAAAATAGGACTCCGATCGCCGCCGACTACCGCGCGTTCGTTAAAAGTTTAGCGAGATGGAGTGATGGATTGAGATGCGATGCCATGCCTAAGGCCATACCGATTGGTAAGAGAATCGGCCGTCTTCGACATTACATGGGGCAAAAAATGGACGGGCGGAGAGTCCGTCGAGCCCTGTAAAATTTTTCCGCTTCCATATCAAACGCCGATATTGCAAGAGGAAAGTCAGCCGTTTTACTCGTGTTAAGGATCATCGCGGAAACACGACCAAATGAAAATTAATTAATAAAGCATGCCAGGTCGTATCGTTTTCCGCTCCCATCGCCTTTATTTTTCATAAATTCTATTATTTCAGTCGAGGACTCGTAAATATCGAGCGTATAGCGCGAGCGGAGAAATCCCAACGATAATTCCGATCGCGGCGTAACTCAACTCACGCGTTCGCCAATTAACCGCGCACAACCGAGCGAGATGGTCGCAGTGAGGGCAAAAGAGAGGCTCGGAAGAGGTTTCACAGGTTATACGGCGCATCGCCGTCGATAAATCTGATTTCACGTGGTGCTCGGCTTGCTACGAGGACTCTCTGCTACTCGGCTTTGATAATGAAAAGGACGTGGCAATTTAATCGGATGATTGGATGCAGCCGCGTTCGACGCGCCCACCGCGGGGTTATCGCGACTAATGAAACCCAGGACTAAATACGTTGTAGGGGATGGATGAATGGATGGATGGATGGATGGACGAGGTGACGAGGATCAAAATTACTACAGTCGCCTATGAGAATGAATACACTAGATTTGGATGACAAAGTCACGCGGGTAATGTGCTTGTAATTGCTCGAGCGAACGATTACAAAGCCGATTGGCTGAATTGTGGGACCAGCTCGAGATAAGGATAAACAATAGTCATAGGTGGGAATAATGCGAATTGAAGCATCGCGAATTACAGGCTACTCGTGTCCAAGGATACTAACTAATGTACAATGGAAATGAGACGGCCGATTGGCGTTGAGAAATGTAGGTATAGCTAATATGCTATCGAGGGTTGTTTAATGAAACGACACTCATCATTTTACGAATGAATGAAGTAAGGCTGAAAACGTCGAGGCTCGGCGCTACACAATAACCAATCGTCTTTTTGAAAAATCAGTCTTTGATGTAAAAAAAAAAAAAAAAAAAAAAAAAAAAAAAAAAAAAGCTCGCAGCCAACGGAGTAGCTTTTTAAATTGAATTTATATTTTACGATGACGGGTATGATAGCGTCATTAGCCACCGTATAAGATTGAGCGTAACCTCCGAGGGAGCCATGAATCCTTTTTAATACCATCGTGAGAAAGCCGTAGCTCAATTTTGCGCACAAATTATTCGGGACGATAATTCAAAAAACTGCTAATGAAGAAGTAATTGTTCTTGGAATTCAGCACTTGTTACGTAAGTGTCGAAAGTTGAAACGATTAATGGAATTAGTGTTGGAAGCTCCGCGAATGCTCCGTGTGCACAAGTAATGTTATTGTTTAATTAGTAAGCTTAATTAACTATGTAAGTCGCAGTGTTTGACTTGACTTGGAATCCTTATACTTTTCTAAAGGATAGTGTCGAGCATTTTCTTCGATAATACTCACGCCAATTAAAATCAGAATTTATAATTTACATAATCGAATAAGGCTAAATTACTCGTAAATGCGAATGTTTCTGATGATCAGTCGTAAATTATATGAAGCACAATAAACACAAAAATGCGCTAATGAAAAGAAATAGGAATTCATATGTACTAAAAGCATAAGGATAAAAGTATTAATAATAATATTTAATTAACACTGTGACTGCTCGACTTCGCGTTCATGGCCATTGGGAAAGACAAAAAAAAAATGCGACTATTTATTAAAAACATACTTTATGGCACCCCATGTAAATTTGGATCTTAAATAAAAAAAAATGGGCGTAATTTAATTTAATGATATCTGCATTTCTTCGAAGGTCTTACAAGTAACTCAAAGTAACAAAGTATATTGAAAAAATTTTTAAGGTGGCAATGAGAGATATGAGTGTGAAGAAAAGAAAATTTTTTTTTTTATTTATTTATTTATTTTTTTTTTTTCAAGAGAGGCTCTAAATCTCATTTCACTTTATTATTAATTGTAATGGAGGCAAATAAATATGTATTAATATATATTGGAAAGAAATTCGGTTGGTGATGAAAGGATAATTCGATAAATAAATCGAACTACATTTTTAAATTCATATGAAAAGCCATTTATTTTAATCGCATTAATATTTTTCAGTACAAATGTTCTTCTCTTTTTCTTTTTCATTTTCATTTTCATTACGCAAAGGCTGAACTATAAAACATTGATGAAGATCCGTTGTTAACGCAGACAGATAATTAAAGTAACAATATTCCTTATAATAGTATATGTAAATGACAAAAATATACGTTAGAATAGAATAATTATTATAAATAGTTGTAAAGATATTGTCAGATAGAAATTTGACTGATATTATGATAATTATCCACGACTAACGATCGAGAATGATAATACGATCACAAATGGTAACTTTTACACGCCAATTCTTTATATAAATTGCACAATCTTGCTACAATATTGCACCTTAAGACTTAGCGAAAAATAATGTCATGTCAATTTTCCCAAGCTATTACGACAAACATAATTCGTAATTAGCCACGAAACATTCTTAATCTAAGGCTATTTCAAATCTGCTATTCCAAAAGCCAACTTTTTCCATTTAGACAATATAAATTGTACGAGGACAATATGTCGGCTCTTTAGCCAAGCAATCAAATTAATTGTAATTAAACTTCGACTATAATTACGTACCACCTAATGTGTAATTAATGCGTGTGCGCGTATGTACAGAAGTAGCCGTTCGTCTTTATAAAATATCCTACATCGAATAAGGATCTAAGAGCTCTTCAGTTTAGCTTATTCCGGTTTCGAATGCATTCTTCACAATACCATTCTCCTCTCGGGGCGATTTTAAGACCCACACATGGAAAGTGGAACCATTCGATTAGGCACTGCAAAGAAAAAACCAAAACACAATCTCATAAGTATATGTGGTGATAGAGCACTTGCCGCTTAAGAAAGAAAACGGAGTAAAGGAAGTGGCAAAATTGCATAAAGATGAAGGAGCATGATTTTACGGGACATTGATGTTCGAGGGAATCGAACGGGCTGTGGAAAAAGTTTTTTTCTCAAACACTCGACGCGTGACGCAAATTATTTTAATCCAATATGTTGTTGATAACGCAACGTCCCGTCACCGCAATTGGCACACAATCAAACGTCGAAGTAAATGAATCATTGGATCGTCGGTTGGTCGGGTAATTTAAAAAACGCCCTCGAATGGTCCACGAATTTGGTGACCCGGACGTATCAAAGTTATCCGCGAGCATGAGCGTAAGCAATGATCATCGGTTACCTCGCGGGCAAAGCACTCCGAGTGAATTTAAGGCTAGTCGTGGGCGGGACTTACCTCCGGATCGTCGCAGGCGATCATCTCACCATAGGACACCTGGCGGCATACGCAATAGAGCGGCTCGTGGGGGTCGATGGGCATGTGGTACATGTCGTCGGGCAGGCCACTTTTAACGTTGAGAAGCTCTGACCTTGGCGCGGCCAATGCTTGCTTCTTCAGCTTTGTCTTGGTGGGGCGATCCTCGCCGCTGCTCGCGTTCGCCGTTCCCTTCTTGCGTTTCTTAATCGCCCGACGGCTTTGTTTTCTCCCTTTCTTTGAGTCGGCCTTGCGACTCCCACGACCGCTGTCCGTGCTGGTTTTGCTGCTGTTTTTGCCGCGGATGCCGCTTGAGCAACTGTTTGTGTTACTCCTGTCGTCGCTGATGCTGCTGTTGCTGCTAGTGCTACTGCTTATTTCGCTGCTGCTGGTGCTGGTAATGTCGGTGCCAGTGGTGCCACTGCTGCTTTCGCTGCTGCTGCTGCTGCTGCTGCTGCTGCTGCTGTCGTTACTGCTGGTGCTGCAGTTACTAGTGCTCGAGACGCTGCCTCTGTCATTGCCGCTCAAGCAACTAATGCTACTCATTTTCTGATTGAGTCTTTCCTGTTGAAAGTAATAATCGAGAGTTTAAACGAGAGTCTAATATTTCTCTCCTTCTTTTTTTTTGTCTCCTATGCGTGTAAATTTGCGTGCGCCACTCTGTGCGTGTACGCCAATTTTATTACCTTTATTTCACTGATCGCAAAGTCATAATTTGACAATGATAACGAAAATAAAAAATTAAAAGAAAAACAGTGGCAATTGCAAACGAACTATTAGGACACAATTTTCAAACGACTTTCACGAATCATAATTAACGCACGGCATTCATCAATCGATGCAAGCGTATTGTTAAACTAGGTAGACGACGATAGAAAATTATCAAAAAATGTTCAATGATAATATTTACCATTTGTTTCTCCTGCCTTTCACTCGTTGCCGAAATGCTTTTGGCATCGTAATGGTGAATCGGTGCCATAGCGATGATCGCCGCATTCTGCTCGATTTCGTTCTCGAATCTCGCCATACACAAGTCCAGCCTCTTGATATTCTTATCGACGAGTTCGTAAGTCTCGTATGATAATTTGACTTTGTTCTCGGCGTAGCGATTGGCCTTCGCGTGCAAGCTTTCGATGTAGCGAAGACGCTCCTTCTTCTTCGCCTCGCTTGGAAATTTGTTTTTCAAGTACTCGTCGATGAGTCTGTCGGTGTGCTTCTCGAGTACTTGCAGTTTGATGTCTAGTTCCCGTAATTTACACAAGTTTGTCTGTATTTCCGTCGGCATAAATTCAAGGCCTGAAGAGAGAGACTTATTATTGTATAACGAGAGATATAGGGGAATAACGTTAAATTGAGGATTATTTTCTTTCCGCCTATCTCAAATAAACTAATGTAGTTTTTCTACGAAATTTTTATCGAAATACATTATTGAAATACAATACGATAATTCCCTAATTAAGCATTATAATAAACAATTATAGAAAAATCATTGTAAATCGCCAGACTCGAGCTTTATTATTTTATTATTGTTAGACTCGGGTATCGTGAAGTCAATTTCAAAATAATTGACTATTGTAATGAAACGAGATAAATGTATGGATGAGAAACTAAAATATTTATCAATTTCTCTCTAAATTAAATTAATTAATTAAAGGACTTTATTGAAAGTTTAATTCATTTTTCAATTTGTCACTAACGTGAATTTTCACTTTTTACTACCCAATAATTGAATATTCAATAATTAATAAAATCATTGCTTTCAAAAAGTATGTCTAATAATTTAAAAATTGTTAATTATTACAAAAAGATATGAGAATCATATTTTTCAAACTGAATAAGTTACATCGAGCTTTATTTATTAGTTACTGAATAAATTAGTAACAGTTTCAACTAAGAATATAGTGGGCATTAATATTTATAATTACTAATTAAATTTGTAATCATTATAATTCATCAACTTATCGATACTTATAAACAGTAAAAGTATCGAGTTGATGAAGTAAAGTAAAATAAATATTTATTGTATACATTGCATGTAAATGTATAGAGTGATTATTTATAAAAAAATAATTATTTAACTGTATATTTACTATATATGAATTTACTAAGTACTACGACTATAAGTATGCATATATATATATATATATATCCTTATAGATGAGTGTATGTCTATATATATATATATATATATATATATATATGTATATACATTTAAATATGTATGTTTAATGTCTTTGTGTGCGTGTGACGTGTGCGTGTGTGTGCGTGCGTGTGCGTTCGTGTGCGTGCGTGTGTGTGTGTGTGTGCGTGTGTATATATGCATATGCATATATAGATTTATAATATTATATCATTTTATATTTTCCAAAGTAATACATACTGTGTACATAACGATCCAAATCAGCAGACATCTTGGCGCTTTTTTTTTATTTTGTAAGTATAGTCACAACTACAGTAACAGACACAACAATTGAAGAACACTATATGGATATAAGCCACGATTGCTGCACCACAAAATTGTATTGGTACACAAACGGTTGCAACACCGATAATATTCTACTAAGCGAAGGGATCTGTCCTCCTCAACGATTACCCATGTAATAATTTAAAAAGGGTCTTTAGAGGAATATTTATACTTTTATGCATGCATCCATCCTTACTGACCAAATAAAATTATTGGTCGAAATTTTATATGCACACCAATGTCTATTTGTCAAATTTAAATGCTATCGCTCTGATTGGGCCTTTCCAAATTTCAATAATGTACCTGTCGGGGGCGTTGCATATTGCCATTTTTCTTAGAATCGGATGTACGGTTAAACAAATGCAGGTAGTTTTAATGTATCGGAATTAATAATAGATATTAAAAGTGATTTCTTATAATGCTATGCGTTATTATTATATGTATATTTTGTAATGTAATGATCTCCTCAAACATTTATTTAAATAACGTGACAAATTTAATATATATTATGCAAGTGTGGAAAATAGAACCACAATATACACATTGTACATTGTACGTTAAATGTACATTAATTGTTAGATGACGCGCAAGTGTTCAAAGACACCTGCGCAATCTCTAATTGGAACTATTATCTAATGCGAATAATTAAATTCGTAGGCAAAGTTATTGTGTCGAAGTTATATTATATCTTGTAGTTAACAAACGGACAAAAAATTCTCCATCAGTATAAGAATGGGAGCCAAAGAGCATTAATATACTTTAGACATTAATGCATTGTAATATTATACATTAAATAAAATTCTCGATATTACATTTTTTGTTTTTCACAAGATATAGTAAGTTTGAAAATTGAAGTTTACTGTAGCCTACATGTATACATGTATAGATAAAATAAGTGTTATAATTACTGGGGCAAATGTTTTATTAGCAATTTAGTGCCAAGTATAACTTAATCTCTGTGTTAAACTAAATTAAAAGGAATAAAATGAAAATTATTCGACAAATAGACGATCCGGTTGGATTGCTCAATATTTACGCAAATCACAATAAAAATAAAAATATAAAGAAATATTAATGTCACACGCTATATCAATATTTCCCTTACATATACAAGAAAATAGCCGAGAAACGCCGAGTTAACCATCTTAAGAAATCACAAAATTAAAAAAAAAAAAAAAAAAAAAAAAAACGCGCACACACATTCACGGTATAGTCATACTCCGCGTTCGTGAAACCTATAAAATCACTGCCAATAGTCAACTACTCACTCTTTAAGGTATACCTTTAAAGCAACTCGATAGCGCTTTCATACAGAGTCGACATTTATCAAGAATACCCTACAAGTGCACCTCGTGGCCATTTGACAATTCCTGTGGATGTCGCCCACGTATTCCCCTGGCAAACCGCAGGTAAGACCCTGGACGATTGGTTCCCGCTGGGCGACACGAGTCGCGATAATCATAAAGTACGCATCGTTAATCGCCGATGCTCGCTAACGCCACGATAATCTGACCTTGAGAGCGATTGCGCAAACGCATACGGGATGATAGCCGCGAAGTATAAATAGCGGCGCGAAATTCGGTGGCTGCTAGACGTGTAGTTCGAATCCTTTCAAAATAATAATAATAATAATAACAATAACAATAACAACAACAATAATAATAATAATAATAATAATATGCTTATTGGTTTGAGCGAAAGATTAAATGGACGCTCGAAGGGTAAAGTGGGCTAAAGTGAGCTGGTCACGTTCTTAAAATCTCGATGATTCTTTAGTAAGTGATGGCGCGTCTAAGTTCCGTGCACATCGAATTGTCAAGGAACTATTCTGAAATGAAAATGGAAGACAATAAACGTACATTTAAGTGGCTATAAAAGAAATCGTACATACAGTTTCAAGAATAATTCTCATGTTTTATTTTACTGGTAAATATGTTGTAAATGTTGCCGCTTATTTATCATTAGAAAAAGCTATAAGTTTAGAATTACGGAGGCTCTCAATGGTTTTGCGGTGAGATTTGAATGTATCAAATTATTAGACTATTTCGTCCGTATTTATATTAATTCTTTACATTCTCGATGGACTTTTCCATTAAATATCATTTGTTCGGACTTATCGGTACATTTTATGTTAAAACCTATACAGTCCTGGTAAATCTAATTCTTCATCATCCACGCGTCACTTTGGAATATCGTAATCGGAATAAATAACGGTAACTTTTATACATCTGTGGTATTTAGTGATCTACAGGACAACAACGGTAGAATACAATTAAACGATAAGCTAAATTAAAGTTGCTCGAAATCTCACGATTATGATATTATATAAATCACTGATTAAAATTTTACACTTTAAGTTAAATACAATATATTTCAAATACACATTACATTATATGTATACGTATATATATATATATATATATATATATATATATATATATTATTCTTATAATCAATATAAATAATACAATACTTATAGCCAAAAGTAAAGTTTATTATAATTGAACTTTGTAATATACTAAAATTGGGCTTATAGTACTTTCAATATTAAATTTAATGTGTATCGCTATAATTTTCTATTAAATTGTTCCAACAATATCTTCAATATTAATAATCGTAAATCACGGCTGTTGGTTGATAATTGCATTATTGTGCTAATTTTAAAATATATTCTTTTTTTTTTTTACATCATTAAAAAATTAATAGAAAACAAATAATGAAAATAAGAAACTGGAACCCACTATTTTTATGATTTCATTATAAAAAAATTAAATACTACTCACCTCTATCGGGCTAAGAAAATGTTTACATAATGATGTGTTGCACTTAAATATTATTGATTTTAAATAGAGCAAATATAGTTTAGAATTGGTGCTAAACATTTCACAGAATAATTTATACCATACACTTATCAAAACTAAACATTAAATAAAAATAACTAGATAGTACAAGTTCGCTGAACTATATATTAAATTATATTAAAAGTGCTAGTAAATATATGAAAATAAATAGAAGAATAGGTAATTGAAGTAGAGAATAGAAATTCAAAATTTCTTCGAGTTAGTTTCTATCTTGTTGTATTGTAATATAAAATAGTCTTGGCGGTATCAAAACCACAGATATGTACTAATTCAATAAAGTAAAAACAAATAAGTGACATTGAATAAAATTATATTACTACTCGATCACCGTGGCTACTTTCATTATTTTTATGCCAATTTTGTTAATGCATTGATAGCAACATCTGTACTGATACATCAGATCCAAAAAATATTACTTTAGTGAATATAGATTTTGATAAAAGCGCCGAGGAAAACTTGGCAACTTCTGAGATTTAATAGATACAACTATTTATTTTCTATAAACATACCTATTATTATAGAATCAAATCTAACTGCATAGGCGTAGGCTTCGTAATAATCGAATCAACGTACATGAAAATAATTTCAATTTGATTGATAATGGCCTAGCAAGTTAAGAGAATTAGCATATTCACAATTAAAAATCATTCCTCATTACTTATCATAAAATTTTACATATTTCTTAAATTGATAAGCAGTGAGATAAAACAATACGTTAGAATATAACCGAACATTTCTCAAATACATATACTAACTCATAATACTACTTACTTGTTTGAAATATATATAAAAACAGATATTTATTCGATAAGTCTATTCGAAGTGTATAATTTTTTTTTTTAATTGATAGTCATTTTAGAGAAGCGATTTACAATTTATTTATAAATATTACTTCACATTCATTGGATTCAAGCCGTACTTTTCCATCACAATTAATTATTATTATTAAATACAAACTTT